ACAAATTACCATAGAAATTCACTCAGTGTTCAAATTTTGGTAAAATAGACTTTACTTTATTGAAAAACTGATGGGTTACTTTTAGAGTCCCCTCATTAAATAATCCACGATGAACACCTTAGTACATCTAGATTATGTACAAGGAGATTAGAAAACAGTATTTTTTTTCTGAATTATATAAATAAAATTTCTCCTAAACAATGAATAAAAAGAATACTTCCAAACGATAGAACATGAGAAACAAATAATGTAACTGCTTTCTATTGTGAAACTTATTAGTGTTCAGTGACATAAATGTGATCGAAATCTTGAAATGAGCCATGTACTATTTATTTGATAAACTACGCATTCATATTTTATGCATCAATAATTTTTCTGTTGGCAAATCAAGCAAGTTGGTTGCAAATCTTTATGAAGAAATATATTATGCTATTGCAATCAATCAATGTGAATGAAGCAATAATTATTCCTTTGGAGAAAGGTGCAAAACTAAGGCAGCTACATGCCAGTAGTGGTATTAGAATTGCTCAGTGCACTAAAATTCAAATAATTTATTTTAAATACATCTGTATTACGAGGATAAAAATGACCATCTATTATTATATTACTATTAAATGAGCGTTTCAGTTGACAAAATGACTAACTAACCAATTTCAACATTTTTAATATTAATTTTGGTTATATTTCTAGTGGGAGAATTTATACCTTTATTCACAGTTCTATATTTCAACATTGCAATCACCTACTTTGGAAACAACTGACTCACTGTCTGTACAGATATTATAAATTTTCCAACTAGCCATATGACTTTACTCAAAAATGTTGGAATTGGAGTAAGTCATTCTATCAACTGAAAGATTCAAATGTATGTGATTGTGGGTTGATCCACAGCTTTATTAATCGTAACATTGATTACGGATGAGGATTGTTGATAAAAAGAACTATGTAATAAAAATAATTTTTTATTCGCAATATTCTTTACAGGTATAAAATAATTAAAGCAATAAGAACTCTAAGTAATGTTTTAAATATAAATATATATATATCTATATATATATATTAAAAATTAATTCATATAAATTCGAAATAAGAACTCAATAAATAAATTGAAAAAATGTAAATAAACAATACTTACTCGCCATCCTGATAAACAGAGCTATTTTCTGAGGAATCATCTTTCCAGTTGCTTTTAAGCGGGATCTATTAACACAAAAATAATGTGAATATTTCAATAGACATTAAACAAAAGCAATAAAACAAAATAAAGGCTAAGAGTATAATGCAATTAAAATTATCAATCAAAAAGATCTATTATAATAACTGTTTTGAAGCATTGATTTAGGAATACCTGTAATGCATGAAAGATACATGGTAATTTTTTATGATATATGGGAACCCATTCAATACCGGATTGATTGTAAGGTGGATATTTCTTAAATATTCCTGCAGAGATTGTTTTTCCCCAGAACCATAGCGACTTTGGCTATCCTTAGAAGAGGGCACTTATTTTAGTGTAGTCCTTCATTAAATTAATGAACAGATTTAAATGTGCTTTGAAATTGATAATAATGTTTTGTTTTTTTAAACTATAAATACATCCATATCTTTTTTTTTTTTTTTTTTTTTACTTATACCGTATTTGTAAATTAAAGATAGAGTTGAGAGAATACTAAATAAAAACATGATATCTAATTTGTATAAGTTGAATATATATATTACAGATTATTGTTGTGAATGGTTCGATATAAAATAAAACAATTAGTTCTGTTAAAAAAATTATTTCACTTTTTTAATTATTGAAGAATTATATACTAATGGATATTTCATTTTTTGGCAGGACCACAAAGTTCTGCACCCTAAATCAATTTTAAGAACTGTGTTGATAATCAGTCATTTTATTAATTGGATGAAGATCAAATAAAAACCAAATAAACTCAAATGGCTTCATGAACTACCATGAGAAATGTAATGGTACAGTGGTTAATACTTCGACTTCGCTACAGCAATCATATCTTAACTATATAACACCTAAGTATATAGCACTGTAGGTTTATACAGTTTTTAAAAAATGGATATATATATATATATATATATATATATATATATATATATATATATATATATATATATATAAACTTAATTGTAATGATGTGAATCAATACAATGAACTGTTCAATCTAAATTTATGAGGTATTTGTTTAACCCTCCTTTCAATAATTTTTCTAACTCTTTTTTAGTAACTTTTGGCGTTTCTGGATATCAAATATAGCACTTGATTTCTTGCCCATTTTAACAATGGAATGTAACATCATTTATGTACAAGCAATGAAAAACATGCAGCCTGCGGGTTGTCCAGGCATCATCTAATGTGAATATTGTTCGTATCACCTTGGATTATTCTGTCTTTTAGATAACTGAAGTACTAACTTTTTTTACATTGAATAATTAATTAAAATATATGGTCGTATCAGGAAATGTTTAGTGACGAACAAGGATGCTCATCTTCCCCAACGTCAATGGCGCATGAACCATTCCCCCTTCTCTAGAAATTTTATTACTCTCTCTTCCTAAAAACAGTGTGTATTAATAGAATTAGAAAAATCATATATCATATGCAATTGCACTTGCTGTGGTCTGTCCCAAGTTATTCTCCTAGTTCTCTGTCTCGGAAATTTTTACTCTGAAAATTTATAATCCCATTAAATTTTTTTTTTTTTTTTTTTCGGTTGGCACTACAGACCAAGAAGATCTTTAGCTGCGAGATGTGGTCTCCTTACAGACATGTGATGCTTGCGGGAGCTAAGGTACCCTGAAGGGGGTCACCCAACCTCACGTTGCTACGAACCATGGTTTCCATGGTGCAGTGGCAGCCCACCTGCAGCTCTATAGCCGATCCCTTTGGGGCCAATCTGGCAATATCCTTCCCACCGATTTTCTCGGGTTCAAGGACAGTGACAAATCGGTCTAGATCCATGGATTATGGCTGCTCGGAGTCATTAGGCGCACGAGGACCTATATTTCTTTCCCCGAAACAGACCGTCCATGGACCGAACCTCAGGGGGGCCATTAACATCCTGGTAAACCATATCCCGATTCCCGGTTTAAGTACACGGGGTAGGGTCATCAGTCCTATGAGCGGTCGGTGTGAGTTGCCTCCAGTAGGCTGACGGGCCTCACATACTGGGGGGGGAGAGACTCGGGCAGCATGGCTTTCCCTGGTGGACGGTCACCCAAATCGGGCGGTCACCCATCCAAGTACTAACCATGCTCGACGTTGCTTAACTTTGATTACCTATTGCAAACGCCTTAACCCCTACGGCTACCCCAGCCCCTCATTAAAATATACCACCCTCAAAATATTTTTTTGAAAATATACCACCCTCAAAAATTCAAAATCTTGTCTAAATATGCCCCCGTCCTCAAAAATGTTTATGGCGCAACTTGCGCCATGAAACTTCCTTTTGGACACCTCTGGTGATGATAAAAACTAAATATATTTAATAGATTACATGGATGTGAAAAACGTATGGTTATTAATAGTTATACCATCTGAATATATCATACCATCTACAATTTTTACTTTCACTTCACTGTGCATGAAAATATATATTTCTATTCAAAGTAGGGTGATAAGTGAAAGCTGTCACACATATATGGCAGCACATCAGATTTTATACATGTAGATGAAAATATTTTACAACCAAAGAACATTGTATGTTTCAAAAATAATCATTAATCTCATTTTAAAAAAATTAATTTGCTTTTCTTTTAATGTCAACAATTTTGTGACTATCTAAATAAATATAGTTTAGTATTTTTGGTGTCCAATCCTGGTCGTAATTACTGTTCTTAGCCTTTAAGAAAAAAATTAAGGAAACAGCAAATTTAAGAGTGATGGTTGAGACCTCGCAGCATACCAGATTGGAAAGAAAAAGATTCAGGTGTAATTCGATTGGGATTAACAAAACTAAACTTAATTTAATTGTATCATGCCCATCTTGGTGTCAACTAGTTACTATCTTTTGTTTACTTAGAATTGTTTTGAGGGACCAACAAAACATAAAATTTTATATGAATTTAATTCATAACTAACAGTATGTTAGTAATAGTTTTCTGATGAAAAGCATAGACTTTCCAAAAAAACTACTAAATATTATAATTAACTTACTTACTTTAAATTTCTTTGATAACAAAGCAGTAGTTGCTCTGTCAATGCAGCATTAGAAAAAAATAATTTTTATGTTAGGTAAAAAATTAGATAATGAATAATTTTATTCAAAAATAATGCTAAGCTTACCTATCAGTACACCACACATCTGGTGTTTCAGGAATACATTCAAACTGAAAATTATAGAAGCCTAATGATATAAATATTAAACTACAAGTTCCATTAAATAAAATAGCAAAAATTAAACTTACAGAGGTCTTAAGATCCCCGTCAACTAGGAGTTCAAACTATAAAATAAAATAATCTGAATTAAATGACAAATTTGATTGTACTTCTGTTTTTAAAAAAATTTAGATATATTACCTCAACCTTATCTTTTTTATGAAAATAGAAGCACCGGTGAATATTAACATGCCTGAAAACATGATTTACAAATGTAATTCAACAGGGGATACACATAGGATATTTGCAAAAAAATATTAACAAACCTTTTGACTTTATGCTTCTTTTTAAAATAACCAAAGCAAGTACCCATTTCAGAGCCATGCACTTTTTATTAATAATAAAACAGGAACACATTGATAAATAATTGAGTTTGGCAGTATTACAAATTAAAGATAATCAGTGGGCATAAAAGAGTTGAATCCTTTCAAGTTCAATAAAATGAAATATTAATTGGCCCATGAAACTGTTGAGATAAGATTGGCAGCAACAAGAAGCCACAAAACAGCTTAAATGCTGACCAAACCGAAGGTCTATTTACAAACAGAAAAAGTGCACACAGCAGCTGATAAAACTGATAACAACCCCAGAGGTTGCAAGCCCTTCAGTTCAGCTGTCGGCGTCTCACGGTGGGGGCGTTTGGGACGTTGGTGAATTCATTCTTCGTTCTTTTCTATTAATATTTAATATTTTAAATGATTTAAAGAAATTTTATCTTTTATGATTGTTTTTAATATTTCTAATATTATGAGGATTATTCTATGACTATTAAGTCTTTCAAGAGAGCTGTGATACCTCTAATATTTTCCTAATATCTTGAATTTCGAAATGAATCACTTATTTTTTTTAACTTTGTCTTGTTTTTTCGTGTTTATTTCGTGTTTTATGCATCATGATAAGCTTCTTGTGATTTCATATGATGGATTTCGATATGATTACCTTGATTTAAACATTACTCCTAATCTTAACTCTTTAAAGAATAATTCTTCCTATGCAAAATGCCTGTTGAATGTTTTTCCTACACAAACATTTGTGAATCATTTTAGTATAGCAACAGGTTTGTATGCTGAAGTTCATGGTGTTCTTGGTGGCAAAATATATGACCAGAAAAATAACAAATTACTTAATTATTCATATGAACTCTTCCATTATAATGAAAACATCATACCTATATGGGTTTGTATTTTTTTTTTATTATTTGGATAAAAAATGTGTGTGTTTTAAACCTAAACTCTGTTTTAGTTACTTCAATGGGTGTTTAAGTAACACCCTTGGTGGTATTTGTTTATATTTTTTTTTTAGTAGATATTTGCTAATTAGTTCACAAATTTACCAAAAGATTTTGTTACTTTTTAGAAAATTTTATAAATAACTGAAATTGCAGTTCTAAATATCTTTTTTATTGAGGTTTAAGTTGTACCCCTATGAGTCGAATCTTCCATAAATCATACTGTTTTTTTAAATGTAATAAAGAAGTTATCATTTGAAAACCTAATTGAAAGGTTTTTAATGCAGGTATTTCTAAATAATTTCAACTAAGCTGCAGGGTTGCTGTAGCTACAGTTATTCTTAGTTGTTGACACGTCAGTTTATGATCTGGAAACCAATATATTGTTATTGTTTAATCTTTTGTTAGTTTATTAATTAAGGATCGTTGAGTTATTTTTCAAAACTGTTTCCAGAATTACTTTCGAAAATCTATAGCCATTACCATATGGACTATTTGAGTTAACAATTACAAAACTGTCTATTTCACTATGTTGTTTGCATATTTGATAATTCTATGTTAATTTGTGTTTCAAGGATGCTTAAATATTTATTTTAGTTTAAAGGAACTTTGGTTAAATTCAATTAGATAAGACTTTATAGTACATTTATCATTGTATTTACCTTTATTCACTTTCAAGTTTTTTCTTTTTTATGTTGTTTACAATGGCCACAAAGTACTCATGATAAGATTCAACCACTTATACTTTCAGATAAAATTAACATTTTTATTCAATAATTTTAAATTTGTCATCACTGATTATTTTATTGGCGATGGTTGTTTTAAAAATTTTGTATATAAAAAATATAAGTAAACCATCAATAATGATTAAAAACTACAATAAATAATAAATAGTAATCCGAAAATTTTAATGTCAAACCTAAACTATTACAATTTTAATATAATTTTATTTAATGCTTTGTAAATCTTTAGATTCTTTAACTGAACAGGTAATAATTTAATAGATCTTATTCTCTTGGTTCCTTTTTAATTCTGTATTTTAAGTATTTTAGTACTAATATTTTCATTCAGAAAGGTATTTGAAAATTTAACTGTACTGTTTAAAGTATGGTTTTGTGAATTAAATCATCAAAATCTGACTGATAAATAAAAGTGTTTTAATCCAATTTTTTTTATGTGTTTTTTTCTAATTTAAATTTGGTAAAAAAAAATACTTAAATGTATGATGCTGTGTGATTAATTGTTGATATTCTATAGATTGTTCAAATTTTTGTTATTATTTGAAAAATTTCTAATAAGGAAGTTTTTAATGATCCAGAAAATTAAATTGCCTTATATAACTATGACCTTAAATAGTTGATTATTAGTTAATTTAAGTAAAAGTAGATTGCTAAATACAAGGAGATATTCTTAATTAAAGTATTTTTTAATTAACCATATTTTAACTTCTATGTTTGGTTTTAGACACTAAATGAACTAGCTGGTAAAGGCCGCCACAGTGGAGTTATGATGTGGCCAGGATCCAACTTCGCTTACAATTCTACTAATGCAACATTTATAGTTAAATATGATCCCTCAGTTCCATGGGATTATCGAGTATCTACAGCTCTTAGTTGGTTTATTCATCCTGAAACACCAGCAAACCTTGTTATGATGTATTTTGAGGAACCAGATGCTGAAAGTCATGCTTTTGGACCAGGTTCACCTGAGGTACTCGAGCAGATACGCAGAACCGACAACATAACTAAATATATTCTTGATAGTCTGGTAAACAACAATCTTTCAGATGTAAACATTATATTTCTCAGTGACCATGGTATGGAAGGAGTCACCCGTGATAGGGTTATAGATCTCCGACAATTTGTCAAAGACAAGGCTGACATGTATGGAACTTCTCCTGTTTGCCAAATTTATCCAAAGCCAGGTAATTATCTTGTTTTTTCATCTTGTTTGGTTAATACCCTGGTTGAAAAAGAGATTATTGTCTATAAAAATAATATAAATGTTTAAGAGATAGTATAATGTTATATAACAAAGAATTAAGATGCATTTAATCATTTTAATTAAATAAAATACACCACTTTTTGTACTTAATTATCTAATTTTTTTTTCAGGACAAAAAGTAGCTGAAATTTATAATTTATTGAGTGACGAAGCATCTAAAAGTAGAAATTTTAAAGTATACCTTAAGGCTGATATACCTGAACACTTACACGTAAAAAATTGTGAAAGAACCCCTCCTATCCTTGCTGTTGCTGAACCTAAGTATGCCTTTCAAGATTTTTATAATACCATTGATTGGGAAATAAAAGAAAAACATGGTGCGTATAATTGATAAATTTATATAGACTACTGATTACTGTATGTTTATTATTATTCTGGGTGGTTAAGATGGAATTGAACTTCAGCTTATTATTTTTATTCGTTTTATACATAACAACAGTTTTCAAATTAGTGTTGGAGATAGACTTGAAGTGAAGTGGATCGAGTCACAGTTTTAATTCTGCTCCTAAAAAATAAATTTTTGGAGTTAAGAGATTTTATTTAGTATTATTAAGTTGTTTTTTTTTTGCTCCTTCATTACCATAGGCAGAGAAGCGTTGTATTTTTATGGGAGGTTAAAATGTTTGTGCTCATAATAAAAAATTTCCACTCTCATTTTACATTTTAGATTATTAAAGAAAAAATTATAATTTGTTTCTATCTGTATTCAAATCCATGTGTCAGGCATACCTATACCTCCTGCTACTGTTAATTTTCATAGAATTTCAGAGATTTTACGGATTAGTATCTAAATGATCCATATCAATTTCTTTCTTATATTAAATTCCTTTTTATATTATCTAATGTTTAATATGTGTTTTGATACTAATATGTGTTCATGAGTTCCTCGCCGGTCAATGTCTTTGCTCTATTTATGAAATTTTTTATAGTATTCATTTTTTGTGTTATGGGATGGAAAACATTGGACAGATGATTAAATTGACATACACAAATGAGAAAAGTTTTCATGCTTTATAGCTAAAAAAAAAATTCAAATTCCGTTTTTTTTTTTCTTTCATATTCCCCCCTCATATAAATTTATTTTCTTTGGCACACCTATAATTCAAAACCAGGTTATTCTATTTGGCCCAAATTTGAGGATTAATGAAAAATTGATGTATCAATTTCTTTCTCCTACATATTCCCAAACAAATTTTCCTAGGTACGTCTTTATCTCAAAAACTGCACATTTGATTTGGCCCAAAGTTTGAGTAGAGTTAGGAATTGTAGAAAAAATTATCTGTTTCTATAAATTTTGTCAAATTTTATCCACTGCTTTAAAAATATTGTTCCACTTATGAAAGCAAAAACACATTTTTCAAAAATGACTCGTGCGATTTGGCCTAATGTTGAAGGAAATTTGGAGAGTAGTATAGAAATTATCAATCATCAATTTTATCAAGTTCCATTAAGTACTTAATATTAATGTACCTAATTGTTAAAAATATAGTGGTTGGGGGTGAACATATGGGAAGGGAGGTGATATGTTTACTATTGTTGTATGTAATAACAAGATTTTATATAATATTTTAAAATTTAACTTAAACTATTGGACTTAATCCTCTAGTTGAATCCATGTGATATGGACATAACACCTACCTACAGCTTTATTTAATTTCATGAAATTTTCAGGTATTATGATTTGAACATAGATGTTCCAAATAGATTTTATCGAATTTTGTTTACTTAGGTATTTGTTTTTCTTTGACAAGAATATATTTTAAAAATCTGTTGCGGTGCACGCATCCCACAACTTTCACTTACTGCCCTCTTTTTAACAGGAATAAGTATTTTCAAACAAAGGGGAAGTGAAAGTACAAAGTATTGACGGTATATTTCATTGTGGGTATTTTTATTTGTTTAAGTTAATACCAATTATGGAATTTATAAAAACTTCATATGTGTATGTTCATAATATTTTCGGAATCCTTATTATATTAAGCTCATGTAACATAGGGAAGCATGTTTTGGGCGTGCTCATATTCCTTTGGTTTCTCCATTATGATCTCTTATTTCTCTTTTAGATAATTACCAAATTCTTTCATATTTTATATTCAACTATTTTTTATATCAGAGATCAATGTGAAATGGTTAATTTTTTCAAATAAAAAAAATTAAAGGTACTTTAGCTAGGGGAGCTAATATTGATAATTAGCCATTTAAGCCTTGCTAGAGAACATCAATGAGAATAAAACCTACATTATATTAAAAACTGCTTAAGTTTACCCTGATGTAATGAATTTGATCAAAATCGTTTGAAGTATTTACGATTAAATCATAAAAATGTGTTAAATCAATGATATAAACTGCCATTTCTGATTAGCCGATTTTGACGAAAAAGTTGCTGTAACATCCCAGGTATATAAAAACCTTAAATACGCAATTTCAGTTTCGTATGACTTTTCGTTTTTGAGCTAGGCTCTTCACACACAGATACACACACCATTTTGTGTGTGGGTCTTGGTTATTTGGACTCAGGTTAATGTAGTAAGGTTATGATTATATATTAAACAAAGTTAATGAATTCCTCTAATGATCTAATAACGTTTTGATTTTTTGAAATAAAAATGTAGAGTTACTGGATTATCTGTTTGAAAATGTTTTAATAGAAAGGATGAATGAAGATTCAGAAGGCACAGAACTTATTGAATATTCCCTCATTCATTACCTCAAAATGTGTATTTCTGTTGAAAACTCAGATTCAAAAATTTTCACGATAGCAATAATTACCCTTACTATATGTTACATATATAGCAAGTAAAAGTAAAAAACGGCTATATATTTTATTCCCAAACTACAAATCAAACATATTTAATTATATTACCAATATAAGTGGTGGGAAAGCTATACTGCCCATACTTGGTAGTTATAAACTTATCAAGGTTGGTGAGTTACGAAAACTTCATTGAATTTATGGTAGACCCATAACTTGTGAAATTTTAAAAACTTCTAATTTATTTAATTGGTGTTTATCTACATCTCTACGGAAGTAGACTTGTAAACATACTTATTTATAGTATAAATTAATTTATAGATAATCTTATGAGAAGTATTTAAATTGTAAAACATAATTTAATAATTCTATTATTAAAATCGTATTTGTTTTAGCTCATGAGAATGGTACTTATGGCATCCATGGATATGATCCTTCAACAGTAACTATGCACCCATACTTCATCGCACATGGTCCTCTATTCAAACGAAATCACTCTATGGGGGAGCTGAGGACAGTGGACATGTTTTCTCTGTTTTCTCATATTCTGAAGCTTGGGCCTCCCGGAGTGAAGCCAAATGGTACCTTTTCAGGAGTAGAAGACCTCTTCAAATCTTCGGCATCAGAGATTGTCTTCGCTCATGGTCTGTACCTGGCTGTTTTATCTGTTATTCTTCATTTGTTTGAACAGTAGTTGTTTTGTTTTAATAAATTATTCTTGTTTCCGTCCATATATATATTTATTAGAAATATATATTTTTCACCCTTCGTTTTATGTCTTATTAAAATGTCTCTTTGTTTTTTTGCTAGTTTGTGTTTTGTTTGGAATTGTTGAAATGTAAAAACTTATATTGAAATTTTTTTTGTTCGTTATTGCATTTATTCTGTAGCAATACGAGTTTAAGTTTTATTATGTTTATGTTAGTGTTTAATGTATTAATGATCTTTGTATTAGCTTTACTGTTTAAGTCAAAGGTTTTATTTCTACTAATTTTGTTTAGGTAAAATAATATTTGCATAGAAATTGGGGGTGGGGACTTAATCTTCTTAAAAGAACTGTCAGCTTGCATAGGAACAGTTTAATTAATTATTATTAATTAGTAAAAATTGGTTTTTACAATATTACCAAAAGAGGCCAGATTTTTATGTAGAAAAAAATGATAAATTTTTTCATGAAATACCCCAAAGATAAACTATTTTTTTATGTATGAAATGAACATCTACCAGAAAAACAAAAAAAAAAATATACTTTCCGAAAATTATTATAATTTGCGTGTATTCATTAATTGTCTGTCTTGAATTCAAATCATAGTTTAATATACTTTATTAAAAATCATTATAGTAATAAAGGAAGAGAAATTCATGAAAATGCATGACGCACTTATGCATGTGTTTGTAGGAAAATATTAATAATTAGTGCACTAAATAGTAATGAAATTACAAAATTTAAAACATTACATTCATTTGGACATTATTAACGGAGGTTTAAAGATTTTTTCAAGGAAAGGGAGGGAGCCACTTTTTTTTCTAAATATTTATGTTATTGTTTAGCAATAATTTTATTTTGTTTTATAAAATATTGACCAATATACACCTCTATTTAAAATTAATTATGTTTTTTAACCAATTTTAATATTTAAAATGTAGATTTAGAATATGCCATTGCTTCTTTATGCCATATTAGTTGTTATTTACCATGTTTTGAACATATTATATTTTTCTATAATGTAACTTGGGTATGGTATGTCGTATTGGCTGGCTATTTATGTGATAGTAGATCGCCTATGTAAGTGATGTTTAATGATGATGTTTCAGTTGTTAATTGATATTAATTTAAGCCTTAGTGTTGTAGTAGATATGATTACTGGCTTTATAGAATTTTTCTTTATGGAACTAGATCTCAGTGTACCTTGAAAAACTAAATAAATTTTGTTCATATGTGTATCATTATACCCTGTTATTACTTTTCTTAAAGCCCACTAGAGGTCTCTAGGTAAGGAAAATGTTGTAATTTGCATTAGATTTTCTATATCCAGCTTTTAACAGCCTCTTGAATAAAAAATTAATATAATTGATTTGGATAAGTCTCAATTAAATCAATTTTAGCAAGGATACAGCAAACAACTTTTATAATAAATTTGGCACCCACAGCTGAAAGTAAAATTATACGAGTGGGCACACCAGATATTTTGTTTTGATATTTGCCATGTCATTACCAGGAATATGCTGAGCTTATTAAGTTTTCTTTTAAATTTAATATTACCCAAATCCTATTTAGAGATGCCTTTTCTGTCAATAAAATGCTTATTAAGTAGTTGTGATTCTACGAGATATAATATAAACCAAAATAATATAAACCACTAATTAGGCAGCGTTTGGCAAAAAATTTCAAACCCTGAAGTCAGAAATAAATTTATGCACAAATATGATTTATTATAATTACTTTTCAGTTGAATAATTGTATACGTGGTAGGCAGAAAACTGTAAAGTGGCTTATATATAATAGTTAATTTAGTAGAAAAGTAAAAATTGTTAATTTTAGTAGAAAAGTTTCATTTAGTTTGATTTTTGTCATTTGATGGTTTTTGGATAACACTACTAATTAGTAATAAATAAAAACTAAAACAACTATAATATATAACCCCAAATACTAGTTACATCCATTATTATCAGCAAGTCTGAAGTTAAAAATTAATATTCTTTATTTATTTGATTCATTCTTACAATTTTATCTCTTAGGCAATTTTTTTTTAACTTTAATTTTTTTTTATTCACACCTGCCATAATGGTAATGACAACCAGTGAATGTGAGATCGGTTGCTAAATATAATATCATGAAAGGCATGAGGAAGAGCAGTGCCCAGCGGCACCTCACTCGGTGTGATATTTACATTAGACGAGGAGGTTTCTCATCCAGCTCCTCTTCAGTCTCCTGCAGACGTTACCTGGCATATTTATATGGCAGACGTTAGTGGCCATGTCATTTATAAGTGTATTAGGATGTCCTTGTAAGTTGTCATGGAATTTTTTGTAATGAGTTCGTATGTGTTCATTAACTGTCGGCCTATGGAGGTCAGTATGTAACGTACCAAGGTGCTTTTGTAATTGTCCTGAATGTTTTTGCTTGAAATATTTGAAATATTGTCAAGGAAAACTGGAGGACATGTTTCATGTCGAAGGGTAAATGTGGTGTGCTGTGATTTGTCTTGATTTAGTCAGATTTTCCAAATTTTGAACCAGTCATGTAATCTTGTTAAATACTGTTGTAGGGTCTGTGAGGCATACGTTGGATTTTTGTGTCTAAAATTGCTGTGTCGTCTGCATATGTCCTGTTAAAATGTTGGAACTACAAGGTATGTCATGAGTGTATGTAACATAGAGTAGTGGAGCGAGTACTGAACCTTGGGATTCTTCTGCTGAGATAGACCTGATGGAAGATAGTTCTGACCCGTGTCGGCTGGAGAAAAATCTATGGGAAATGAAGGATTGTAGAATTAGATAATATGTAGATGGGAGTATTGTCTTGAGTTTAAAGAGAAGACCCTGGTGCCAAACTCTGTCAAACGTTTGAGCAACATCCATATAGTTTCTGCTCTAGTGCTGTAGTTATATAGTCCGTTTTTCTATGTAGTTGGTGTACAGTTGAGTGATGTGCCCTAAATCCAAATTGATGGTCAGGTATTATTTGGGTGTTTGTTAGTATATCAACAAGTCTTTTGTTCAATAAGCTTTCAAAAATTTTGGAACAGATAGGTAGTAAGCTGATTGGTCAGTATGAGGAAGGTGAGTTTTTGTCCTTGTTAGGCTTGTGAATCATGGTTATATGTGAGTATTTCCACTGTAGTGGAAATTTAATTGTCCTCAGTATTGCATTATAAATAGTTGTTAAAAGCACTAGAGCTTTCCTAGGCATTTTTTGGAGCACTTCAGCGTTAAACAAGTCATGTCCAGGAACTTTTCTTTTAGGCAACTTTTTGATTTGTTCAGCAATCAGGGAAGGTGTGAATGATATAGGAGGTAAAGTTAGTTGTAGAGGCACGTCTGAAGTGTTTAGTACATTGTTATCGTGCTCATTATTAGTGAAGTCTGTGTGTGGTATAAAAACAGAAGAAAGGTATTCGGCAAAGAGTTCTGATTTTTCTCTGTCTGCCACGGCCCAGGAATCATCTTCTCTTCGAAGGGGTGCTGACACTTCACGATGCTTAATAAGGTTTTTGGTATGTCTCCACAAGCTTCCATCGTCGGTTGAGAGATTTCTGATGTAGCTGTCATAGGTTGTTCGTTTGAATTTTCCAATCTGTCGCTTGAGTTCATTATTAAGTCTGTTGTAAGTTCGTTTATCTGATGGGAGTCTGTCAGTCTGTCATATTTTGCGAGCACTCCTCTTAGGCAATTAATAAATAAAACCCATAAATTTTCTCTTTTAAAAATACTAATATGAAATTCATTGACATATTAAGCACTCCTCTACGGACCAGCAATATCTTCAAGACAGAATGATAAGCTTGAAAATTTAGATAGGAATAAAAAATTATAAACATTTAGGAAAAGCTGTGATAATTAGTCGGAGATAACTCAAAGAATTTGTTTAAGGAAAAATAGGTGGTAAAAAGAAAGGTCATTTTAGATCTTCATAGATTTGCTATGTGTTTGTTATGAAATTTCATAGTATGTAATAATTTTTTTTTATAACATCGGTATATAGTAAATAAGATTTATTCTGTTACAATTAAATACAAGTAAATTATGTCCACTACTGGTTTGTAAAACTTGATCTTTACGTTATGTATTATAATGTATCTAAGAAGTTAGAAACCAAGCTGATAGGAATATATTTCATTGTGAAATTAAATGATTTTTGTAATGGCTGATCAATTTATCTTGTAATATGCTTAGAAAAAGTCCGAATTTTTTGTGTTGACCCCTAATCTTGAGACCTAGAGATATATGGTTACAATGATTTTTCTATCTTTGATGGACTACAAAGATTTCCATAACAACTTTTAACTTATCAAAGTATGAGGTTTGAAAACTTCTGGATTATTACTATTGATAATTTCAATGAGCTTATGAAGACTCAATATTTTTCTTGTTATTATCTTACTATTCCACGCTACATCTTACAAAATGTATAAGATTTGTCCATTTAAAAATTCTTACTAATAAATATTTTTTTGAAGAAACCTAATTTCTATTGAAATTAGTTCCAATTTATTTATTATAAAGCTGAAATAAAATAAATGCATTTGCCTTGTTAATAACATACAAATGTATCTAAACTCATGAATAAATATTGAATCATGTTCTCATTAAGGCTTTGGGTATGAAAGGAAATAAATTATTGAATGACTCTTTGCAGTATAGGTTTAAATTATAGTCCACTATCTTTAAAAGAGGAAAATGGAAAGCTATTTGATGTTGGCATTGAAGAACATCAATTTTCAAGCCATGCAGGTTATTCATGTTAATCTCAAACGATAAAAGAGCATGGACAAAATTCAGAATCTCTATTTTAATTGCTACTAATTTGTATCTAATCAATAAATTGTTATTGTATTAATCTCATACATTACTGTCATCCCATAACTAATATTTTATACTATCAACAGATTTACATTATTTATAGTTTATAAAAATTAACATTTTAAATACAATATGATTCTTATAGTAATACAAAAAATGACTTGTCATTATTTCTTACATTAATATGGCAATTTACTTATTTCTTTTAATAATCTATAAACCTATGTTTATATACACACATATTGATATGTTTCTCAATAAGAAATTTGCAATTGATTGAAAATTATCTTTGTTACAGTTTACATCATCAGTGTTTTCCTGATTGCCATTATGGCCATCTCAGTTGTAGCTATATGCTATACAAAGAAAAGGTAAAAGTTTGCACTATAGTAATTTTATGTGAATTATTAATTATACAACCTTATTTAGCTCTAACTTTAGTTCTTAGCATTTTTAAGGGGTAAAAACTACAGTTGTAGATGTAAATAAATTTAATCAGTTTCATTTATGGTCATTAACATTAAAGTGTGACTAAAACTTATATCAGTCACCCAGGTTCAAATTTCTACTTTTGGTCTTATCACTCACCTAACCAGTCAGAATTTTTTGTGGACTGTTAGTTCTTCCTTTTTCAAAAAATAAAATAAGTAACAATAAATACAAAATGTACACATAATTTATCTTCACTTTCAGTTAAGGAATGTGATAATAAAAAA